TGTAATACAATACACATACAATACAATAAACAATACATTACATACAGCAATACGGACTGCAGCCTTCCTGCCAAAGGTGAGAAACAGCTTTAATAAAAAACACCAGAACATGTGATAGGTTGATCATGAAAACAAGCTACACCTTATAAATTATTCTCCTTATAAATCAAAGTAAAACCTTTCAAAATAATGTCTCCTGGGTCTCCTTTATGCATTGATTTTGAAATTGCATGCTCATCTCAATGTGAGACTGCCTTGCAAACACACAACTATATCGAAAAATAGAAAAGAATGTTTCAAACATAGAGAAAAAAAATCAAATGGAACTGTCATTATTTGAGTTAACTAGAGAAGTATTAAAAATCTGCCCACTAAATATATGTTTAAAATGTTAGGACAAAAGTTACCCTGATGATTCTACTATTCTATTATTAGTTAAATAATAAACTAGATTTTCTCCAAGTCTTTTATATGGTATTTGGCATAACATTCACCTCTCTTTGAATACATTGTCTGGAAGTAAAAAACCTCTAAATACTCCAGTGGTATGAACTCATCTATCTCCACTGAAGTCAACATAGATCTGGAGGACAATTTGATATTATTGTGATGTGAGAGAAACCATCTCTCTATCAGATATTTGTCTCAAAATGCAGAGTGATGTCAAATTACACCTGAAATGGAATAGAGAAGTAAATGATTCATCTAATTCCCATAACATTTTTCCTGTTCACAGGAATTTCACATATATTTTCTTTTCAGATGTTATGCATTTGAAAGTTTTTGATGATGTGTTGTTATTTTCTAATCTATTATTTGAAAACACCTATTCATACATTTCTTCATTTGTGTTTTCTATTAAATTCTGTAGATAACTGTTGAAAAAAATTACTCAGTAGGTTTCCATTTCCTGACTAAATACCAAGTCACATCCAAAATTACTATTTCCACACAAATATATGTTTCACAGTCTGTATGAATACTTGCAAAGGAAATTTTGAAATTGTTTTCAAGAACAGCAGAGCCATTAAAATTCAGCTGTATAAATACTGGTGATAATCAAATAAAAAGAAAAAGCAACTCATAAATATGAGAATCAACTCATAAACCTAGGGAAATAACCTCAGACTATAACCTGGAACTGTCAGAGAGACCACAGCAAGATCCTCCAGTTACCAGCTAGGCTTGCTTGTCTGAATCCTCAAATACAAGTAGCTTTCCCTTGGCTTTACACAGCTCCCTGTAATCCTCCCTTTCTCTCACCAACTAGGCACCTGTGAGCTTCTGCATAAATACTAATTATCCAACAATAAAATGTAATTAAGTTCTGAATTTTGTATATTTGATTGAATCAAAACATATAAACTCTACCTGGAAAATCACTCTACTGTTTTTAAATTTAAAGTAATATATATGGCAATGTCTTGTCCTATGTATCATGACCTAGTAGGTCATTTTGTCATCCTTTGAAAGTCTCACGGATGAAAACAACGTTACAGCCTGCATTATGCTTCAGACACAAAAAAAGGTACAAAGTAAGCAAACCCAATTCTTTATCCTAAGATAAGACATTTTTCTCCTCCCTCACCTTCTAGGAAAGAAAGATCATCTAGAGCTCTTAATTAAAAAATAGACCTTCTATGTCTTGACTGTATCTGTGCTGGAAAACTCTTGCTAGTGCTGTCATTTCTCATACATGGACACACAAAAAAACTTGTTAGACTCGGTTTTTAGGAAGACAAGAGCAGAGGTTCAGTACTTTATTTGATGGCTAACTTCATCATAAGGGTAACTGATATATAAAATAGCTATTAGAAACTGTTCTAAAAAAAAAAATAAAATCAGCACATCTTTTTTTAATATCTCATCAGACACTATTCCAATATATCTTGCAAATGAGAAAAGAGCTTCATTTCAAAGAATAAGTGAGATTCATAAAGCTAAAACAATGAATCATAGTTATCTTAATCTATCCAGATATCAGGAGTTTCTTAGAGTAGTGATCTTTGGTGTTCTAGCAGAGAAAAAAAAATAAAATTATTTTCACATGTTTACTTAGGAAAAAAACACTTCATTAAGCATTTGAATTCTCTATGGTTTATAAGCATGTACTTATATACTGTTCCTCCCTTGATGTGAGCAGATAAACAAATCTAGCATTGTTACTGTAGAATAATAGAAAATTGCTAAACACAGAAAAGATATTGCAAAATGTCATAAAACAGCCAAACCATTTTCCAGGGTTTCAAAATAATCTTTGACAGAAACTTTATTTCCTCCAATTTTTTATTAAAAACATGCACTTACACAAAATATCAATGAAGCACTAAGCCACCAGTCCACTAGATGTGAGCCTTTGACATCTTCCCTAAAGTCCTTCAGAACAGTAACTTAGATCAATGAGATTACATAATTTGAAATGGCCACAGGACTCTTTTAACCAAACACACTTCTAGGAAAAAAGGTAGGAAACTCAAAACACCATAAAAATTAAGGAACAAATGGTGCTTTCATACATCCTTTCACCTAACCAATAGGAAGAAAACCCTAAACTAATCACCAAAACTGTAATAGCTGGAAGTGATTAGGAAACAGTGGATTATCAATACCATGTTGGGAAAGATTAAGCACACAGCAGTACTTAGAAGCACTGCAAGAAAGGAATAAAGTCAATGAAAAACTATTAGAAAACATTCTATGTCCAAAATTCAGAATTAAAACCAAAGTTTCATTTAAACTTTCAAGGCCATCAAAGAATTAATCTGCTATAGTAAATTGGGACCATTACAAAATGAAAGGAACGTAGAACAAAATGATGGATGAGATCAAAGGACATTCTATTCTTGGTTTTGTCATTTGCTTTCAAAATGTAAGTATTTTGAACGACTACCATCTGCTGAGATCCGCAGAAATGTTTCTGCAAAATCTGTGTAATATCTCTGAATACATCTGTGTCAACAAACTAGAAAAACTATCACTTGGGTGCTGCCCACTTCTGCAAAGAGCTGCAGCTAACTCAATGGAAGAATTAACTCAATGGAAGTTTCTTCAAATGAAGAAATTTGTTTAGTGGGTTTTTAATTTGATTCAGCCCCTCAGTTTTACTTTGATCAATAATCTGATTTCTTCTGCACAGCTACTGTTGTTTCCTTTCTTCCTACTTCTTTCTTTCTTCTAAAAATTCCACTGTTTATGGGCTTACAGTTCAAATTTAAGGGTTTCCTAATTTTTACATTTTATTGTATTTTTAAGGATTGCTACAGCTTGACAAATATCCCCATACACTTTTTAATGCTTTACATTTCAGGACCTCAGATCTGAAAAGCCTTTTCACTACTAAAAGTGCGTAAAACTCAGTGAAATCTCAAAGAGACATGTGGAAATCTGTCCTTGTGTTCTGAGAGTCCACTGTTCCTATCAAAAAACTGAAAGTACCTCTGTTGATTGCCAGTACAGATGTGCAATTAATGCATTTTCTGACACATGATATGTGGCTTCCACTAAATTATGAATTATCTTCATTCTTACTACAAAACAACATGACTTCTAATCCAGTGTAAAGAGAAAAATGAGGAGGAGTAAAACCAAAGCTTGAAAGCTAGAGGTGAACTGCCAAAATGAAGTCACTAAAGCACATCCTTTGGGGACCACCTGATAGATTTTTTTTTTCTTTTAAATTTGGTGTTGTATTTGTTTTGCTTGTACCCTGTTGCTTCTGAGTCTTTAATTTCAATCTCATGAAAGTCTTGTTTTTAATAGGATTGCTTCAGTGGTACTTGGAGGGGCAGAGAGGACCCTCAGAACCACCAGGTGCATTGCCTCTGTATGAATCAACATCCAAGCCTCGAGGAGGACCTACAGCACCTCAGCAGCACTTAATGCAGCTGCAGCCTGAATAACTCCTTCCTGGCATGGGGCAATGATCACAGATTACTTCCTTCTAAAAAATGCAACCTGCAAAAAAAAATGCATCTCAAGGTCTTAGGCAAATCATAAAATGTGATTTAAATAGAAGCCAAAAATGCATCCAAAAAAAGCACATGTTGGCTAACTGAAACTAGAATATGGAGTCATAATTGACAACTTCAAGCATATTCCAGAGATCACAGCTGTCCTCATCATTTGTTTGGGGCTGATTAGTCTCCTAGTGAAGCTTTTCTACCTAGATGTCTGTGACCTAGATAGAGCTCCAGGAAAGCTGTTGATGCCATGTGTGCTGCGCAGTGCCAATAATTACCATAGATAATTACCATTAGTATGGTAATTATTGGCACTGCGTAACACACATGGCATCAACAGCTTTCACCTTCTACTAGTATGCTTCTCCATTCTGCTTTGCTTTTCATGTGCAGTAACACTGATTTGTGAATTTATAGAAAAACTAAAATGCATTGGAAATAAAAGGATATTCCAGAAACTAGAAACACAGCTATTCTTTTTTTCCACTTCAGTAACCAACATTAACAAAAACCAAACTAACTTGAGCAAATTTTTGTGGGCATTTAATCATTCATATTCACATAAGAAGAAATATTCAGAAAAAAAATAAAGACAAATAAAAATATTTTTAAAATATAAAATCATGAAGTTATTTATCTTACAAAGCAATATGGAACATCTCCTCTTATTTTTATTAAAAATTGATGAAAATTATTTTGAAGGCAATATTGTATTTCCCAATTACATATAAAAGCATTACTGAAGATATTACATATACTAAGTAGATTTAACTTTAGCCATCTTCATGTCATAGCATTGTGTTATATGAGTAAAAATAAATGTCATAAGCAGATTTAACACCTTTAGATGACCTCTAATCAGAAATGTGCCATGCTACTCAAATTCCATCTGTCAAATGCTGTAAATACAGGTAAGTAAATATAAATGTCATTAGAGGCACAAGTTATCTTACTGGGAGAAGTTCTAGGATTTTATTTTTTGACAGCTTGTAATTTGGATATCTTCCAGTGTCAACAAAACCTGTTCAAGCATGATCTTACCTTGTTTTCACTACATCAAGGGGATGCATCAGGCAAATTTCTACAAGACCTACAAAAGAATAACAAAGAAAGGCCTAATAAACATTTGTACAAATAGTAATTCAATTTTCATTGACTCCAACAGTTTTTAAATTTGAAAGGCAAAGTAAAAACCTACACATATCATTGATGACACAGTACTCGTACACCTCATATATTAAACATGTGCTTCTGTAGTGTGTATAAACCATTGGGCTTTTCAACAGTGAACAGAGCTAGTTGTTCACTGGAGTGGGCTAAGTGAGGACTTTAGCTACATAATCAATTTAATCTTAGTTTTTGCTCAGTTTTCTGACTTAAGAACAGTGGGAACATTTGTCTGGCATCATAAATAAATACATTAAGTCTTGTGGAGAGTAGCAAAGGAAGGGAGTTCAGGTTGGCACTTGCTTCTTTGTTGTACAGGAATAATTCCTAAGGACACTGCAGGACTGCACTGGTGGCTCAGATGCACTTGATGTTAAGATGACAGCTGATTCCTGAGTATCTGAGCTGCAGCTTCACTGGTTCTTTGTCCTACCCTGCCCTGTGCTAATGCTGATGTGTGGTCCTGGCTTTTCCCCTTTGAGTGTGAATCTCAAGGGGCCAGTGCCAAGGTAAGAGAGATCTGGAAGGTCCCAAATGCACCTGTCAACACCACCTTCAAAGTTGGCTCTTTTTCTACCCACTTGACGCCTGATGAAAAGTCCATACATAACCTAGGGAAAACTTTCTAATTAAATTTCTAGGTTTGCCTACTCTCCTTTCCATTTGGCATATCAGCCTCACTCCAAAGAGCAAACAAGCAGTAAAAAGATGTATTTATCAGGACCAGTGTAAAAGTGCATTTTAGAGATCTGTCAATATGCAGACAGAATAAAAACTACTACAGAAATATTACAAGACTTCAAAGTTCTAAGAAAATGCATGCATACATTCCTAGATAATAATTACAATGTCTTTGAAATTTCTGTGCCCTGGTTATTAGGATCCTTAAATGTCCACTCACTCTTTTTACCTAGTGTAATAAATTCAATGCTACATCATAAAGAAACAAGTCATGAAGACTATACTTATTACAATGTTTGAATGCATTTATTTACTTTATTTATGATTATTGTAAAAATAATTACAAAGCTTTCATAATAAAGAATGTTTTGATGAGTCAGAGCTAAATTTCCAAAAATCTTGATTCAGGAAAGCATTCTTCAAGTTAAAATATCTGCAAATTCCTTTCTTTAGGTATAACTTAGAGTCCCACTGAAACTAAGCACATGGTACATGCTTATGTTCCACTGGATGCTCTCCTATTTCAGATGTCACTGGCTTAAGTTCCACACCCTGTCCTCTTCCTTTAATGGCACACACCACATCTGAGCTTCATTTTCATTATTTTTTATCATTACAGTCTAATTCATAAAGATTGAAAAACATAAAATTTTCCAGACAGCCCCTGATCCCTAGTTTTCTGCCACTGAGTTTGAAAGACAATATCAAGTTAATATTTATGACCATTGTTTTGCTGTATTTTCTTTTCACTCCATGCAATATTGTTTATTTTCAATTTTGGATAAAAGGAAGACAACATAGGTGATATCAGCCAAAGAATATTAATATTAGTAGTAATGAGATTCAATAAAAAGAATGCAATTTTTTCAATGAAAGTAAAAGCTGTCATCATTATTACTGTGCAGCTATATTTATTGCTGTAATTATTGTCCAAGAATCGCTTTTATTTTACTGAAATAAGATAATATCACATTTCACATTAGGGAACCGTCCCAAAATCTATAAACTGCTCCAACAGCTGCCAACAGGTGCTTTGTGAGTGGAACTGCAACTGAGTATTTTAGTGCTGCTGGCAGGGGGCATAGCCTATGAGTTTTTCCCTTTCCAACCACCCTCCTCTTCTAAGCTCTCTTTTTCCAACCTTCTCCCCCTTTCCCCATTTTTGATCTTCTATTCCATCTAATTTTGGCAGATAGAGCCTACAGTAGGGGGCCAAGCATGGGGCCAAGGGTTGTTCACCCTATTCTGTTTTTGCAGCATTAATGACCATTTTGGGAGAAAACTGTAGAGTGCCAGAATTTGCCTCTATTTTCTTGGTCCTTGTAGGATAATTTTTAATTCAGGCATTTTTCCAGCAACTGAATCAGATGAATTCCAAGGTCCTTGGCAAGAGCTCTGTTTTGATAAGTTCAGGATTCTATTGGTTATCTGCCTTTCTCAGTCTTTCCTTTGTCTCATCATCTAATTACACACCAGGTTTTAAACTATGTATAGTTACTTGATTTCACCAGACCAAATTCTTCAAAAGATGCAGGGATTATGACACGGCTCTCTGAAGAGCACCAAAGGACTGCACACTGTGCAAGACACTAATGGAACAGCTACAAACACAAGCTACATTTTTCCATCTACTATAGTAGTCATGCAAATCATTACAACATCCTACTTGATAGCCTGCCCAGAAAGTGTGGTGGCCCTACTAAATTACAAGCACTCTGAGATGTGCTCAATAAAATAAAATATATTGCCCTTTCTTTAGCTAATGTTCATCAGCTTTGTAACAAATTCAATTAGCACTATGAAAATCTAATTTACTAAACATCTTTATTAGGGTGCAATATATCTTAACTTGTCACTCTGCAAAGACTACTGTTTACAAACTTAAAAAAAACAAAGTAGTTAAAATAGTTACAGATACATGGTCCAAAAAATACTCTAATTGTCCCATTGGGTCTCCTTGGTGATGTCACATGCAAACTAACCCAGAGTGATATATGATGGCCTAATTATGTTTAAAACCACTCTGATCCAACTAGCTGAACAAGAGCCCAAAGGAAATATAGGAAAGAACAATTACTGGGTCAGTCCAAGATTTGTTGTCTTCTGGGTGGGAAAAAATTCCCTGTGAAAACCAAATAGTGACCATAAAACAAGACATAATCAAAATCTGTGTGTTGAAGAAATAACCAGCTGTCATCATTGACATGCTCTGAGCATACACAAGTGGAATATCAACAACCAAGAAGGGAGTCCAGAATTCTATTATGTAAAACATTCTGCTCAGTAACTGAGCCCATGGAGAGAATAAAATGACAGAAAATGCTGACCCCCAAACTGACCCTCCTCAGTAAATCATTTTCCCTTTCCCAACTAATATCTTCTGTCTTTAAATTGTTTCCCATTATGGATTACATTACATTTCCCTCTGCAAGATTCACACTTAAAATTTCAAACTGGCAATTTCACATACATCTCTTCAATGCAAACATTTTAGTGACTGGTGGCTATTTTGAGTTCCTTTGTTCTTTGTTGCTCTATTCCATCATTCATGCAACTCTTGTATCAATAATCATACATGGCTTGAGAATACTTTGACACTGTTTAAAATTGTAACAATCCATCTGGCAAAATGTGAAAGCTTGAGATTTCAGCAGCACAGGATTATAGCTCTCCTTGTATCTGCAAGGGTTTCCATACTTCATCTATTCACTGCATAGGGAGAAAAAGAATGAAATCTAGCTAACAGTTCTTGCAAAATAACACAGATAAAACCAGAACCATTTGGGCTTTGGAATGCCTTAGGAGAGGACTTATATATCTCCAGTATTTCATTGATCCTCAAAGCTCTGAACTGAAAGTGTGAAGTGCCTGTGATAGACACTGATTTCTTTCAAAAAAACCTGAGCAGCTCACTCTCTATGTGTTCTCTGCATCATACATGAACACAGATTCAACACACATTCAAGAGATCTAGAGCATGATCCATGTGTTACTTCAGACAACCCCCTACAGTGTAGAAGCCATCCTGCACCCTCCTCCCCTTGTGTTACTCATTTCTCTGGAATAACACAGTCACTGGAGAAACACAACAGACAGGAGACTGGTCAGAGAAAATGTGGCAATAAACACATCAGGCACTGTATATTGTATAGCTGGAACAGTTGATATTTATTTTGGCTTTTACATAGATATAGTTACAATGTACCAAATGATCATAAATATTTTATGTGTACTATACATTTCCTTCTGAGAATACAAGTCTGACAGAAAGAATCTAGTGTTGATCTTTGTATCCTAATCAAAACAATGACAAATTCCTCTTAAATATGCTTTTCTCTTGGCTAAAACACTCCATTTGACGGGATGGAGCATGGATTCTCCTGATTGTAACAGCACTATTTCATAAACGGTCAATGCCTGGGAAAAAAACATCCCTGCAGTAAATTCTGCACAGGTTAATTAATTTCTATCAGCTGGCTATCTGACCTAATCTTCAGAGACACATAAAGGTTTTACCTCTTCTGAAAGGGTACACCTTCCTCAGAAATGTTAGGTTCACTGGGCAGCTCACTCCTTTCCTAGGGAAGCAGTAATGTACTGTGCCCTTCTCAATTGTAGTACATGTCAACTAGGCTCCAAGGAAAACTATACAAGAGCATGCACAGACTGTGCTGAGAAAGATCTACCTATTAGCCTTTACTTAAGAAAGTGACACTTATTTTAACTCTTGCCCAGGGTTCTATTTAGTGATGTGGTATGGGATTAACTAATGGTACCCTGGAGCTCCTCACAAACATTGGTAAGGAGCCAAATAAATGCTTTCCTTAGAAAATGTGGATAAATGGAAAGTTACTCCAAAAAGTACTCCATAATGGCAGTGCTGTATTCATGAGTCATTCTTCCTCAGAGACCTAGTTTACACAGAGAAAATACACTAGAAAACATTAATTTAACAAATTGTTGAATATGATTTTCCCCAAGGATGTCTGTGTTTAAAAATGTGTTGGCTGATCACAGGAGGATCCCAGGAGGAGCTGTTGGTTTACTGTCACATTTTAGAAGAAGTCTTTTGCATGTCTACAGGAGGAGGGCTCATGCTCAACTTCTTGTTAGGTAGCAGTGTTCCTTAACAGATGCAACCTGTCAGTGGAGCACTGCTATCTGGAATTGCTATCCCCAAAAGCAGGATTGGGAACAGTGATTACCTGGTTTTCAAAAAAAGAAAACCAAACCACTCTGGAC